GCATCGATCTGACGCAATTCCAAGATCTGTTAGACCAGGCAATACAATCCAATTTCTCAATCCTTACTGATGGGAGTCTGGAGCTGGTTGTACAGACGGTTGCCAATCCTAACGGCGGGGGCGGCTCTAAGTGCTTGCTGAGACAAACCTTAAATTGTGAAATAGTTCAGAAGAAGCAGAAATGTCTGTACATGGTTGAAAATCGAGATAACCAGCTTTGCTTCGCAATCAACCTTGCGCATCTCATATTTCCTGAAATGAGAGATGATAAGGCAGAGAAGAAAGCGCGTGAGTTCCAGAGACAAGCTGGTCTTACCGAGCATACACCTGTGGGTTTTACGCACATACAAAAATTCGAGGCATGCAAACCCTCCCTGCTGAGAGTGTTGTGTGTGACCGCTGCAACAAACTATGCGCATCATCTTACTGTCTCATGAAACACAAGGAGCTGACCTTTATACATGTTCCTATTTGACAACCATTATTATGGTGTAAAAAACCCCGTGCGTTCATCGGCTCCAAGTATTTTTGCATGTTCTGCCACAGAGGTTATGATAATCATTTGGGACACAGGTGCTCAGGGCACTGTAACGTTTGTTTTACCGCCGACTGCGCAGACATGCAAACGCTCCCCGCTGAGAGTGTTGTGTGTGATCGCTGCAACAAACTATGCGGATCATCTTACTGTATCATGAAACACAGGGAGATGACCTGGCACCCCCACGCTGAAACGCATGCCAGCCTATGCCAAATCCATAAAAAATGCTTAAAATGCTGGAGACTGTATTACATTCCCCTGAGTAAACAGACTAAGCCCCACAAATGCCCCAAGTCCACCTGCTACACCTGCAGAGGCGTAATTTATGATGATGCTGATGATGATCATAAGTGTTATATCCAGAGCCTACCCATGCCTGAAAAAGCGGATCATATTTCTGCTAAAAAATTAATATTCTATGACTTTGAAACATACCCCGATGATAACGGTGTGCACGTACCATTTTATGCGAGCGCAATAACAGCGAGCGGTGTGAAATTGGATCATTTCGGGCCAGATTGCGCTGTGAAATTTCTAATGCACTTTAGAAGCCCTTGCTATCGCAGAGCGGTGTTTTTAGCTCACAATTCAAAAGGCTTTGATGGCCATATTCTAGTCAATGCTATGCTGTCTCTGGGGATTAAACCCAAAATGGTTCTTCAGGGTTCAAAATTGAAATTATTCACAGAGCCGGACTTTCAACTAAGGTTTATCGACTCT